AACGTGAGTGAGCGTGAATGAAAATTGTCCAATTTACCGACACTACTGTAAATTACTCCGTGATAAATGAAATTGTAGTCTATTTGCCTGATGGGCAACGTTTGTAATGATTCATTAGTAATGAACGTGTTTTTGAGTAATTGAATGTTACAACTGATCGCTGTTTAACCCGTTATTTTGTACGAGTGTTAATTGGATAATCAATAATAGATGAAATACATAACAATTACACACTTATTTAAACAATTTTTGAAATACCCCGAACATCTTATAATACATTTTGTTTAGATTTTGCATCTATTTTAACACCACTTTGGGCTATGATATAAATAGTTAGATTAATTTAGAATTTACTGTAATTTATTATAATTATAATTAATATATCATATGTTTGTAAACTTACTACAGATTATTGAATCCATTTATTAGTGGTTTCATAATTATCCAAGAAGTAAATTAACATTTAATTAAATTGTCACACGTTTCTTATTCCCTGATCATTTGAAATTGATGTCAATATATACAGCATTTATATTAATCCTACCTTAATTCTCAATTTTCATTTAATTATAAGTTTAAAAATAAACAAGAATCACACAGCGATGATATACGTTAACCACAATTCGGGTGATCCTTAAAGAATAAATTAGCATTATCCATAGATTTAATATGAATCACATAAGATTTAACATTCTCCATAAACTCAATATTGTTCATAGGATTAGGATTAGTCCCATAGACTCAGCATTATTTTAATAGGATTAAAATTAGCCCTATAGACTAAACACTGTGCATAGAATTTGCATTGCCATAGACTTAACATTAGCTCAATGTTAAAGTATAGCCATAGAATTAAACTGTAATCCAATGTTAAATCCCATAGTGTGGGGCCGGGCAGGGACTTAGTAGCCGACCGATCCTATAAACTACATTATTCACATCAGAATTGTGGTTAAAAATATAAGTTAGTGAAAAAATTGAATTAAGGTAGATTTTGATGTATATACATATGGAAATGTGGGCGATTGTTGGGGCTAAAGGTCAATTTGATACGTTTAACGTATTGACAAAGTGTACGCAAACTAAATATTAAAAATTCTATTTTTATACTCAAGAATATATTGAAATATATTTCTTACAATATTTGTGAAAAATATTCTTATTTTTCTAGTTTTGAATGTATTTAGTGTGCATTCATGTACTCTAATATCAATATTCTCTATATTAAGTAAATAGTGTATACATTACATTGCATTAAGAATTATATTAAGCAATACTTTATTATTATAATCAGTTTAGGACAGAATCCTATTACCGTATTTGTACTTAAATATGATTATAGGCTAAACCATATGAAATGAATCAAAATAATTATTTATTAATCAATATATGAATTGAACATAAAAAACGAAATAAAGATTTGGGACGACTATCAGTTAAAATGGGATGAAGCGGATTATGGGGGCATTTCTGTGCTCAGGTTACCGCCCGACAAAGTATGGAAACCCGATATAGTATTGTTCAATAAGTGAGTTGTACTCGAGATGAGATGTTACATGTTTACTAACAAGGTTGCCAAATGTGTGATTTGTTGCTGCAGTGCCGACGGCAACTATGAGGTGCGATACAAGTCGAATGTGTTGATCTACCCGTCGGGTCAGCTAATGTGGGTCCCGCCGGCCATCTACCAGAGCTCCTGTCAGATCGATGTGACGTATTTCCCATTCGATCAGCAGAAATGTGTCATGAAATTCGGTTCGTGGACTTTCAATGGAGATCAAGTGTCCTTAAAGTTATACCAAGAGAACTATTGGGTCGACTTATCAGACTATTGGAAAAGTGGGACCTGGGATATAGTGGAAGTGCCGGCCTTTCTCAACGTCTACAACAACTCCAAGTATGGAAAGCCCACCGAAACTGATATATCATTTTACATCACCATCAGAAGGAAGACACTGTTCTATACCGTGAATCTCATACTTCCCACTGTTCTCATCTCATTCCTATGTGTTCTGGTCTTCTATCTGCCCGCAGAGGCCGGTCAGTCAGCCCTTCCCTTACTTATCACTTACTTAACCTTTTATACCATATATTTGGCTAAATATAGCTAATGATTGTTCTCTATATTTGTCCGTTTTGTGCACCTGTAGGCGAAAAGGTAACTCTAGGCATATCTATATTGCTATCACTGGTTGTGTTTCTGCTGCTGGTGTCGAAGATATTGCCTCCGACTTCGTTAGTGCTTCCCTTAATTGCCAAATACTTATTGTTCACGTTTCTGATGAATTGCGTGTCAATACTGGTGACAGTGATTATAATAAACTGGAACTTTCGGGGGCCCAGAACTCATAAGATGCCAAATTGGGTTCGCGTCGTGTTTCTCAAATACCTTCCGGTGCTTCTCTTCATGAAACGGCCCAAAAAGACACGCTTACGATGGATGATGGATATGCCGGGCCTTCATTACCAGCACTTCCATCCGTCACACCATCAACAACAACAACCACAGGCCGGCTCTCCGGACCTGAAACAGTGCACAGGACTTAAGTCCAAAGTGGAGTTCATGGAGTTGGCAGACATTGGCCAACAGCCACATAACCTCCCTCTCGGCCATCACCCCAACTGCACGAAAGCGACTCAACCGCCGCCACGCAAGGCATCTCTCGAGAGGGATAGGGATGCCCTCAGAGACAACGAAAGCATTGATATGCTATATCTCACACCCGAGGCTTACAGAGCGGCCGAAGCCATCGAATTCATTGCCGAACACTTGAGGAGTGAAGACGAGTACATTCAGGTCAGACACCACTTATCACACACTTGTATACCACACTCTCCATCACATATGCCTTAGCTATTCATATGCTATTCATATGCTATTTCTATAATATTCTTGTATTATTCCTATGCAATGCTCACACATTGCTATTGTCTTCCCCGCTATCACTACTTTCAATCTGTTGTGTCATTCAATACTATATTAGAAATAAATTGAATTTAAATCCATTCAATCCTTTAACTCAATCATACGATTCTTTGAAAGAATTTTATTTTCAATTCATATCAAATCATATCATATGTATTATATTTCATATTAATTGTGAATATTTTTATGAATATCCCAATAGATTGTTTAAATATGACACACGATCTCTCTTTTAAAGAGAGAGAGAGGGAGAGAGAGATTAAATGGTTCTAGATTTTGTTAAGGTTTTGTTTCATTCTTTACTATATTTCAATTATAACTTATATTCAAATTAATATAATAGAATTTAAATAATGCTATTATATACAATAGTTTAGTTATTTACATAATTATTTAACTTAGTTAGTTTTTGCATATAATTTTTTTATTATTTGTGTATTCTTTCTTTTATTTATACAAAAAAATTATTTTATGTATAAATTCTATTTATAATAATTATTTGATTAAAAGGTATAGAAACTTGGATTTTTAAAAATGTGCTAAAAATAAAAACATTATTTAAATATATTTTATTTGCGATTGAAAAACATTATAATTATAATTAATACCGTATAATAATATCCATAAAACATGAGTTTATTAATCATATTAATAAGAGATATAATTACAGATTCTGTTTTGTGTTTAATGTGAAAAGCATTCAATTTATTGAAAGTAAAATATATTTTAAATGACAGAAAGAGAATACTGTTTAACGTTTAGAAAAAAATCTAAATAATTTAATAACGACTTATAAAGGCTTTAAATTATTTAGAAAATACAAAATATGTTTCGAGAATAACACTTGATTTGTTGAAGTATTGAGAGTTAGTGTTATTATAAAAGCAACTCGAGCTCAATGTAAAGCCAAACATATCTCTCCTACTGTACAGCAAATACATAGTAAAAGTTTTTGCTCTTAAACTATAACTTTAAGTTCGTTGCGAATGAATGCGGATTCAGTGTATCGATTGGTTTGTGTCGTAAATGTTAAGACATATAAATAATAGAAGTGGCGGAGAGAAGAGTGAAAGATCTATACTTATAGGGTATGCCATTCAACGAGACTGCTATTGCACAGTCCCTCTCACTCTACACCAGATATAGTCTATGTATTAATGCATTAAAAGGAGAGACTGCGAGAGAGAGAGAGAGAGAGAGAGAGAGAGAGAGAGA